GAGAGAGGGAGAGAGAGAGAGAGAGGAACATCGATGTGAGGCAAGCCCCGACCAACCAGGGGCCCAGGATCGAGTCCACAACTGAGGTTCATGGCCTTGGCTGGAATCAAACCCGGGACCCTTCAGTCCACAGGCCGACACTCTAACCACTGAGCCAACCCAGCCAGGGCAGTGCCAGCAATTTTTAAAAACTTCTCAAAAAACAGTGAGCTGGTGGAGAAGAGTTAGACTATAGAAATTGTTTATGAGCAGAAAGTGGCGGGAATCAGAAACATGTAAGGTTGAGGAAGGGCAAAGTCCCTCCTAGGGATGCTCTGCAGCCTTCTGCCCGGAGGCAGGGCCATGGACCAGATAGATGACTTCAACCCTGGGAGCCATCTGACCTGACCTCTGAGTTACATCACAGCCGCCACCAGGAGGCAGAATTGCACAAAGATTGTTTTAAATGTGAAAGGGTGGAGAACCCAAAATAAAGAATGAACGGAGCATTTGTTGAGCACTGTGTGCCTGCCTGAGACTCCTCACACCAACTATCCTGTTTAAGTCTCATGATAACCCAACGATACACATACAAATAACAGGTCCTGGTCATGATCTGAACTCTGCCCTGCCAAGCTCTCGGACCTCATCCTCCAGTTATCCCCCTTGTTTATTTACTCTGTTCCAGCCCCACAGACCTCCTTGCTATTCCTCTAATGTCTCTGACACATTGATGCCTCAGGGCCTTTGCACTGGCTGTTTCTCTCCCTTGTACATTCTCTTCCCAAACAGCCACATCTGTAACCCCCTTATTTCCTTCAGGGCTTTTTTAAAATTGAATTTATTGAGGTGACATCGGTTAACAAGACTATACAGGTTTCAAGTGTACCACTCAACAAAACATCATCTGCACACTGCCTCGTGCACCCGTCGCCCCGGCAAAGTCTCTTTCTGTCCCCATTTCCCATTCCTCCCCTCTTTGCTCTTTTCTGCCTCCTCCACTTTCCTCTGGCTCTCACCATACTGTTGTTTGTGTCTGTGTATTATATATATA